GCTTCGAGAGCGTTCGGTGAACGGTTTGATTTACACTCTACACTATCTCCCCACGTGTCCGTCCTGGCGCTGGCTTCGTGGCAGGGGGTTTAACACGACGGTGCGCCTAGGCGCAATTGAAGGGCGCTCGATCGGTAAATCAGCGGCTCGGGTGAAAGCCCAGGATAGTTTCGGTGCTAGATACATCTCTACCGGACCGTTTACCGCTAATGAGACACGCGGTGACAGCCACGGGCCTCGTTTCTTATCTCGTCCATCATAAACGTAGGCCTACGTTGTCGACACGTTGATTTCCGTTCACCGGGGTTGTCGCGCGACCTGGCCACCTCACCGTGTCGGTTTGCGATGAAATTACGAGATATTTATACCTGTGACTGTATCGTACGCTCTCCTTTCCCCTGTACGATTGGTTGTTCCGAGATGGTTGGTTGATTATAAGATTACACGCGTCTCGATTGGTGCGTTTGTTTATGGACTCGATAATCGATAATAATTGTTCTATTGATTAACGTTTTCGTTTGTTAATTCTGATATTCGCGAGGCAAAAGTTGTTCGCTCGTGTAATTATTGCTATAAAGAAAATTAGTATTTTAACGTTTGGCGATGTGTAATTTTAAACTCGAAATTTTGAAAATCCTTGGGAATCGATACAAATAGGGTGTATATTATGTAAAAAGAGTATATAAGAAAAGATTTAAAAATAAGAAAAATCTCTATATATTCGAGCATTGAAATAAAGTATTCAATTTTTATGATAATTCGTTTTATATGTAAATATTAGTATGTATGTAAAATACACGCAAGAAGATACGTTTCACTATTCGTTTACTCTTACTACTTAAAATGCTTCAAAATATCAAACTATTTAATTACCTATTTGCTCGTATTCCAATTATCAATTACTTTTAAAACATTTAAATGATAATAACAGAATATATATCAAATAATAGAATCCAGCTGGCCTATTGGATTATAATTCTCGTCGAATTGTAATAATTTGTGGAATAGAAACTTGGAATAAATTAAAATAAAATTCTATTTCCAACCACTTTACATGCACACCGTTCAATCCGGTTTCTCACATGTACATACGTATATTCGTGTCTCTCAACTCGATAAGGTGCACAGGCAACGACAGGAATTAACACGCCATTCTAAACCGTGACACGTATATCATAACCTTGCCAACAAAGTATTAAATGTGTATACGTGGCTCGCTCCACGAATTCCGAGTCATGTCGTTGAAAAACCTCGTTACAGTTCGAAAAGACGCGAGTAACTCGATCCGACAAGGGAGAACCATATTCCAATCCGACGGCCACCTGGAGCCGCCACATACCTGTGTGTATCCATCAATAATCCAACACCTAGCGGAGACGTTATCTACGAATCGGCCGAGTCATTTAGGAATTCATTACGCCCATTAATCCCCCATATAACCCGGTCTCGCCATTATACAAATCGGATATTTCCATCGGCGACCATTGTATCGCGTGTCCCGCCGCGCCTATCGTCGATACCGACCACTTTTTCCTCCTTTCCAATGTCGTAAATAACGAGGATAATAAACTCGCGGAGGCGGGGAAAAATCGCGCGGATTGCCTCGGTTGACAGTCCAGAAATTCCATCGAGAGCGATATCGATCGCGAAAAAGCATTTCCCACGCGCCAATTCAGGCAGATCGTATCGATGGAGGGGGAAGAATTGGATTGCGCAATCGCATTGGGAATGCGGCTTAATTAAGCGGAGAATGCGTGCGCGCGCATGTCGCGTGCCATGCGTAATCGGTTCCTTTATAACGGTTTATAGACGGTTGGTGGTTTAGATTTTGAATGTGACGAGAGATCGAGTTAAGAAAAGTTAAAGGAAATGTAAATCGTATAATGATAGAAAGGATCGAGGCAGCTTCGACTACCACAAGTAAGTTTTTAATAATCTTTTCAATATATATATGTATATAAATTTGCGGAAAGTGAAATTAAATGATTCAAACGATGAACGTTTGCTGCTTTTTCAATTGCTCAATTTATAATTTTAAATTGGTTTTGTAACGAGGAAAGCTCGTATGGCAGGCAGGCTATTCCTCTCGTTTAATTTCTAATGGATGCAAGGTGTAAATATTCTATCGATTGCTTTTATTCGCGTGTCGCACCGTCTAATTGCTTACACGCTGGATCGTACATCGATGCGCGTAGGCGAGACACGAGAATCTGGGAGTAGCATTGCAACTCTGCACTTTCACAGATCCTAACAAAGCAAGTATTCTGGTTGGAACGAGAGTTAAAATCGTTTTCATTTTTTTTTCCTTCAGATTCTATGTACTTTATTACGAAAGATAGGATAGAAATTGAATATGTTGATGATCATTTCAAATTTTATATTTTTACCAATTGTTATATATATGTTGAATAATTGTAGAAATATTGTTACATTTAATAAAGTAATGATATTGTTGCTTTTTATATATATATATATATATATATATATATATATATATATAA